CTTTTTTTAAAAATAACTTTTACTTTTTTTTTTTAAATGAATAAAAGAAAAGTAAAATGCATAGCTAAAAATATTAGTGACCTACTTTTATACTTAAATATTATATACATAAGAAAACTAAATATTTATACTACGGTTTAAATTATACTAAAAAAAATACTATAAATTACATTTAAAGTTAGAAGAAACCATATATATATATATATATATATATATATATATATATATATTAGATATGTAGACCCAAAGGGTCATCACCGGACTTCTCCCTATTTCCGAGCTTCCGAGGCCTTAAAAACCTCGCTTTTAGTTGCCTCGATTTGCTTGCGCAGTCCGAGCGCGAAGCCGGAAAGCTTTTATGTTGAAATATGTGAACTTTGTGAAAAAATTTGAAGAATTTTGATATTAATATTGCTAAAGTTGACTTTGGTCAACATTTTTAGTAAACGGACCCTGACCCGTGATTTGGCGGTCCCGGAGGGTCCGTAGAAAAATATGAGACTCGGGCATATGTCCGGAGTCGAATTCCGAGGTCGAGAGCCCGAGAAATGAATTTTTCTGTGAAATTGTTTTTCTGAAATTCTTAAGGAAAATGGAAATGAAAATTGATTAAAAGACTATGGTATCGGGCTCGTATTTTGGTTCCGATGCCCGGTACAAGTCTTAAATATGTGTTAAGTGCTTTCTGTAAAGTTTGGTCGAATTTCGGACCTAAATATCTAAAGTTAGAAGTTTAAGAAGTTTGAAATGAAAATGATGATTTTGAGGCTTGATTCATGGATTTTGAAGTTATTTAGGCGATTTGATAAGTTCGTAGGATGTTGTTGAGTTAGTCCATGTGTTGGGTTAGGAGCCCCGAGGGCTCGGGTGTGATTCGGATGTGTTTTGGGATGGTTTTGGCCTTAGGAATGCTGCAGAAAACTGCTGTTGCTGGTGTCTGCGATCGCGTACGTTCTTCTGCGATCGCGCAGGGTTAATTGATCAGGCCCATTTTCTGTTCTATGCGATCGCATGAACTCCTCTGCGATCGCGTACCTTAGCCCCTTCATTCCTTGCGATCGCATTAAGCTTCCGCGATCGCATTTCATTAAACCAACCCCGGTATGCATAGCCTCTTTTCTTCTATGCGTTCGCATGACCCATTCTGCGATCGCAGTGGTCAATTTCCCTTCCCCTATGCGATCGCAAGCCTCCTTCTGCGATCGCATAGAGTAAATACGCCCAGTTATATTTTTATGTCCAGAACAGTAGCAGCACGGGATTTCTCATTTTTTTCACACGAGCTCTTCTCTTAAACCCTCCATAGACGATCAAGCTCTCCTTCCTCCATAACTCTTTGGGTAAGTAATCTTAACATCATTCCCTCATTATTTCTTCATCTAATTACTAATTTCCTAGCCCTAAATCATGAAATCAAAGTAGAAATTAAGGGTTTTGGGTAGAGTTAGGTTTTTGGGAATTTTGGGTGATTCAACCTCAATTTGGGGTCGAATCTTGAAATAAATTATATATTTGAACTCGTGGGGTTATGGGTGATTGGGTTTTGGTCCGAGCCTCGTGTTTGGACCAGGTGGGACCGGTGTCGAATTTTGGTATTTTGGGAGAATGTTGGAAAAATTCATTCCTAGACTATGAGATTACGTTTTTGAGCCCTTATTGATATTATTGAACTAATTATGACTAGATACCATTGTTTCGGAGCCGGATTGTAGAGGAAAGGCGGTAATTGAGGGTTGATCGCTATTCTTTGGACCGAGGTAAGTGTTTGTTCTAACTTCGGTTTGAGGGAATAGGATTAGGATGTTATTTGCTACTTGTTAAATGTGGAGTACGGTGTATAGGCATGGTGACGAGTATCTATACATCGGTGTCTAGCATGACTGTGAGTCTTAATTGTTTTTAAATCGAATGATGTGACACCACTACCTTGTCTAATGAATAAATTTCTTATAATGTGAACGGTTGAGGAGGAATTGTGATTGGTATACTTTGGAATGTTTGTTCGAACAAGAATGTGATAGTTGAGAAAGAAATGATTCAAAAGAGGATGTGTTGTGGTTATTCCCTTTCCGGGACGTGTAGACTATTATTATGTACTCTCCCCTGTCGGGATATTTGGGCCGTTAGCTGTACCCTTGCCGGGTTAAAGTGTTATGTTGTCGAATTCCCCTAATGGGGCCTTCTTTCCAAAGTCAGATATTTTGAATTATAATATGGGATCGTGTGGCACGCCGACCACTTATATATTATGAAAATGGGATCGTGTGGCACGCCTACCACTTATATACTATAATATGGGATCGTGTGGCACGCCGACCACTTATATACTATAATATGGGATCGTGTGGCACGCGGACCACTTATATACTATAATATGGGATCGTGTGGCACGCCGACCACTTATATATTATGAGAATGGGATCGTATGGCACGCCGTCC